GAGCAGGTTAGGATGGGGGAGGTACTACGGGCAAGGCGGGGTGAGTAGGGGTGGGGATGGGAGGGGGTATACACCGAGTCATGCTGAGAGATGTTTGATGAGAAATTAAAAGGGGTTTACAGAGACAACTATGGTAAGACAACAGGGCATCTATATAAATTAAAATACAATATTTCACAATGTGAACAACATATATACTCACATGTTCTCATAAACAAGGGTACACATGTATACACTGTACTTGTGACAAAAGCTGCATGTATGTACTATAAGAACTTACACGTGTATACGTACGTATGCATTCACGACAGCAGGTCTGTGTGGGCTAATCACGTGTGTTTCCCTCACCCTCAGGCACCTCTGCAGTCAGCGCTAGCTTTGACATGGAAAAGGACAAGCTGAAATTCGAGAGAATGCCGTCGGTAGACTCCTTCAATCAGGTAGGCCTCCGAAACGAAATCTTACCGATGAAAAAATCCACCGTAAGATGGAGTCGCCATCTCGCGGGGATGCCAGGAGGTTGAGCTTCACACGAACTAGGGGTGGGATGATGCACCCGGCAGATAGGTGCGATATGATATGACTACTAGGCACTTAGGATATGACTACTAGGCACTTGAAAAAAAAAACCCTAACCCTAACCCTAAAAAAAAAAAAAAATTAAATTAAATTAAAGTGCCTAGTAGTCATATCATATCGAACCTTTCTGCCTTCTGCTGGGATGATACGGGTAGCTCACGATGCGATCCATATCACGACATACCTTTCGCAATTCGATACGCATTGTGATACTTTTAAGAGAATCTACCTCGCGAACTATATACACTCAGCCGGGACTCTAGCAGCGACGTGAACGCTTACAAATCGGTGTCGTGGAGCGCTTAGTAAACAACTGCTATTGAACTGCGAACTGAGTCGTGTAACTTAGTTGCTTACGCACAACTAAATACATGCGTCTCGTTTCGTCTGCCCCCGAAGCGCTCGCATCCTAACGAGATGCTGACGGGGCTTCGCTACTTCGAGCGTCCGATCATCGACAAGATGGGAGAGGTCACCAAGCCGGCGTTCGACTGGGGCCTCGTCGATAGAGGGGCGCTCGCAAAGTGCCTGCTCGTGCTCTGCAAGGTCGTCAGGGACATTCTGAAGGGAGAAGATCGGCTGCTGACGCTGCAGGCGCCTGTCTATATTCTCGGTAGGTTCCCCCGCGTGTGCACGCGTTCCTCCTTGTGGGCAAGGTTGTTGGGAGGAGAGGTTTAGTAGAGGTAATCTGATGTTATCGCACACACACGTGGTACATATATATATATAAGAGTAACATTGATTTTTGTCTGTTGCCTGAGCAATTGGGAGATAATTATTTTGGTAAAATCAGGATAACTGTTGCATGCTCCATGCCACGCAGTTCAATTGGTACATTTTACCACGTGATAGTTGTAAAAGTTTTGTTCATATCTAAGTAATTAACAGAAATTATTTTAAGTAGTATATATAGTCAGTTGTAGACTTATTGCAATTAAGCAAAGACAGATGAGTAAAAACCCTGGTGTATCGTGCCTTCATCGTTTCGGGGATTTCTCATCATACTCGCAGCTACAATGAGCCAGTACTCTCACACGATCTCCATTCCCCCCGTTCATTTACCAACGTATCGCGAAATATATGCTGCTGGCAGGTTGCCAATTTAATCGTACGGATTGTCTGCCTTGTAGGAGACATCCACGGCAACTTTCGAGATCTCGTCTGCTTCGAGAAGGTGCTCTGGCGCATGGGACCGATACTAACGCCCTCTAACATCCTGTTTCTCGGTGACTATGTTGATCGAGGTGATCAGGGCATCGAGGTAGGTGTCCTAGCTAGAATTTGTCCTCGTGATATCATCTAAGGCACTCGATCCTCGGAATTAACGGGCAACATGCGGTTATCACCTCATTTAACACATTTTTTTCTCCATTTTGCGTGATTCTTCATTTTAGTTATTACCGTAATCATTTGTTAGTCTTAGAACAGGGAATGCCTGCCACCGATTAAATTTTAATTTAATTCATGAATAATGGGCACTCTGACGAGTAAATTTTAAATTGGAAAAATTTCTTCGCTCGTTCAAGCCTGCGTGCGTGGGTGTGGATGCGTACAAACGGGCGGACGTGTCCTTGCTGGTGCTGCCATCTAACGTCTCCTGTTGCAGGTGGTCGCGTACCTGTTTGCGCAAAAGCTGCTGGCACCGGAGAAGTTCTACCTGCTGAGAGGAAACCACGAGCTGCGCTCCGTGCAGTGCATGTTCTCCTTCCGCACGTAAGCAGATGCCGTTGCTGCCGGCAACGCAGACGTCGATTCATGTCCTGCCAGAGTGGCAGATGGCCCGGGATAGACAGAGCGACAGACAATGGGACTGACAGAGTGGCAGACGGCCCCGGGATAGACAGAGCGACAGACAATGGGACTGACAGAGTGGCAGACGGCCCCGGGATAGACAGAGTGATAGACAATCAAACAGACAGAGTGGAAGACCACCACTGAGAGAGAGAGAGAGCGACAGAAAATCGGTCAGACAGAGCGGCAGATGGCCGCAGATAGGCAGAGCGACGGCTAAAAAATTTCGCGAGACGCGCCGCGCACGCAATTAGCGACAGCGATTAATTCGCGCATCGGCGATCGCGACGACTAACTCTTGTTAAAGTGTTCCTCGTGTAAGTCTGCGTTGTTTTGTTGTTTTGCAGGGAGTGCATGGAGAAGTTTGGTGCGGAGATGGGATCCGAGGTGTGGGAGGCGGTGAACGATGTGTTCGATGTGATGCCGATCGCAGCCGTCGTCGACTCAAAGGTAGGCTGACGCCACCGTAAGGAGAGCGAGGCAATGTGGACTGATGAGAGAGGGAGAGAGGGAGAGAGGGGGTGCGGGGAGAGAGAGACAGAGAGAGAGAGAGAGACAGAGAGAGAGAGAGAGAGAGAGAGCG